CACTGAGCCATCTCCCCGGCCCTATAATTTCTTTCTCTAAATGTTTCTTTGTGATTGGTTGCACTCCTACAGGTAGAATCTGTAGATACAGAAGGCCAGCGGCAGCTCTGTTTTCTGGTTCAAGACAAATGCAGGGGAATCCTTTCAGAGGTTGCAGTGTTCAAGGATTTAAAGGCTTTTCCTAATGTTGACAATGCACGTACTCACTTGGTCTTAAGCAAACCTGGACACAAGTCTCCTTAGTAGTATTTGGGACAGCATAGAACTCCTGCAGAATACGCTGTAGATTTAAGAATAAAGGCTTTTGAGAGACTGGCAGTGCTGTTTCTTCAACTGGCCGCTGGTTGCGTACATATGTTTATTTTTTTAAATTTTTAAAATTTTTCTGGCAGAACCAGGGATTGAACTCAGGCCCTTGCGCTTGCCAGGGAAGCACTTATTCTACTGAGCCATCTCCCTGGCCCCTCTGCGTAAGTGTGTTTAGTTGGCAAAAAACGTAAATGTGTGACACAAGTAGCAGTGATTTTTTTTGTGTGTGTGTGTGTGTGTTGCTTTTTAACACATAATAGTGAGAAATAATGGACCCCTGGTAGTGACATTTAGGGAGCCTGAAGGTGCGTGGGTGCGTATGTGCACACATGCATGAGTGTGCGTGTGACCTCCTCATTATCTCATGGGCCTGGCCTGAGTGATTCTGACCCAGTGAGGAAGGTCAGGTCTGCAGGCTTGGTGTGGTTGGCCCTGTGCCCCGGTTCTGTTTGAGTCACAAGCAAGAGCTGAATGAGAGATTGTTTCTTTCTACATAGAAAGTTAATGTTGTAAAGATGTCATTCTACCTAAATTAAAATACAAATTAGCACATATTCGATAGTGGAGCTAAATGACAATCAATACAGAAGTTCACCTGGGGCAATAAATGTGGAGGAGTAGTATACTCTTTCTAAATAAATTATAGTAACACAAGGGTCTTGCTTTATCAGATATGTAAAGAGCCATTCAGTCATAGTAAGTATGCCAGGAAGAGTTCAGAGAATGCACAAACAGATCTGAGTATTGTGTCAGTTACTGTATGATCCAGATGGCCAGTTTAATGGTGTGTGCCTGCAGTCCTAGCTACTTGGGAGCCTCAGGCCAAAGGATTGCAAATTTGAGCCCAGCCTGCATACTTAAAAGAAACCTCAAAAAAAAAAAAAAAAAAAAAAAAAAAAAAGACATGAAAAGAACTGCTGACATGTACCCTGAGACCTTATTTTTATTTTTTAGAAGTGTGATAATCCATTCATTTAGTAGACGATAGTAGATAGCTAATAGAGCACCAGAATTCAAACAAAATAATCCTGCCACAAACAATTGATCCTTCCCTAAAAGATCCAAGTTCCAAGTCATCTATTAGGCCAGCTGACTTAAATCAATAGTGTTTTCCCTCTGTTGCTTCCCTTGCAGTAGTGACAAGAAAAGGAATTTAGTTGTACTAGAAGGGATGAAAAACAGCCAGGTGGCTTTCTCTGTCTTTGCCTTGATCTAGTTTCTCTGTACTGTCCTCAGTTTAGAAAGTTACTCAATAACTGTAATGACTGAAACTGGCTCTGATTTTTTTGCTTTTCACCTACAGGTCAATAGTTCTGTTGAGTACAAGAGATGAAATAAAGCAGTTGAATATTTCAGATGCATTAATACCTCTGGGATTAGCCAAACCAGCTCATCTTTATAACAAAGGTTTGTATGTGTATTATGCAATGGAAGCTCTTACAAGGCCAGCGGCATGTGCATTTTGATGGTGAAGTGTAGCTGGCAGACTTTTTATGAGTTTGTTCACCCGGAGAGGGCATCATTAGGATGATTTCTGAATGAGGGGCTGATGCTAGAGGAAGCGTGTTGGACAGGGCTTGTTACTTGGGTGGCAGGAGGCCATTGCTATGATCAGGGAGTATAGAGCATGTGGACAGTTGCCTTTTTTTTTTAAACTCTGACTTAGCTCCTGCCTTATCTTGCCAGAAGTAGCTGCACAAGTTGCGCTTTTTATTTTTTCCTCTCTTTTAGGAAGCATCATATTTTTGGGATTCAGCGGAAACTTTAAACCATCATGGACTAAGCTGTTTACCAGTCCTGCTGGCCAGGGCCTTGGGGTGTTTGAACAGTTCATACCTTTGCAGCTGGATGACTATGGATGTCCCCGAGCCGGCAGTGTCCGCAGAAGAGACCTGGAACTGTTAAAGCAAGCTTCTAAAGTGCTTTAGAGACTGATCGTAACTTAAGTGCTGGGAAACAAAATGTGAACTAACTTATTTAATTTATGGCATTTGAAAATGACACTGTTAACCCAATAAGAACCATTTTTCTGTCTGACACAAAAAAAGAAGAAAGAGTTCAGAGATTGAATGCCAGCTGACGCACCTTCTAGTCGCACAAACGGTAGGGACTCTGTAAGGCTGGTGTCTTCAGCAAGCGCCTCTGTTCCTCACCGGTGCCTCAGGATTTGGTGATGACCATCAGCAGTGTTTGACTTTTGGTACAATGGGATGTGCTAGGGTGGTGGGGGCTTCTGCGCTTCCGCTTGAGCTCTTTCGAGCACCAGCGCCTTGTATACTTGAAGTCTGACCCTCAGCTGTGTCGTGTGGCCGTTGACAGGGGTGGATGGTTTGTTCAGCAGTCCCTGGGGCCCTGTGTCTGGGCTCCCTTTGCAGATTTTCTGTGATGCTGAACGACAGTTTTAAGTGGCATCTCAGGCCTAGCTCATGCCCATTTTTGCCTGGACATGTGCTATTTTTATTCATTTGTATATTGATTAATTCTAAGGGTGCAACTTTCAAACAGGAATTACATTGGGGCAAAAGGGCTGTTAGGGATTAGCAATCCCTTTAATTTGTGACTATTGGGCAAAAATTTGGCCTGCATCAAGTCTGAGATTGTTGAGACAGTTTTGCAGCTTTAATCCTTAGCCTGTCTTGACTGTATATTTGTGTTAAAAATGCAGAGTTGAGCTGATATTTCCTTTTTTTTTTAAGAAGCAGGCTGTTTTCCTGAACTTTAAACTTGTGTCATTTTTAACTTGCACAAAGGAAGTCTGTTCTTGATGTTGCTCTTGCACCTGGGTTTGTGTGTGTGTGTGTGTGTGTGTGTGTGTGTGTGTGTGTTAGTGTATCTCGGGGGATGTGTTTAAAAAGATTGTCTGCTCACAATCCTGCCACAAGAAACCCTGGTAAGCTTAATGATAACCCAAAATGACTGTACTCAGGATGGAAAGGAGGAGGAGCCTCTTAAGGACCAGAAGTGTGGAGGGAATATTGAGCAATGAATCCTTTGTAGCTGTAGAAGAGTGAGTCACTCGTAATTAAATTATTAGAGACAATTAAGAACTTAACGCCACTCAGTTTCCCTTCCACTGGAGTCTTGTGTCTCTTGCCAGGGAGGATTGCATTTGCCAATGAAATTGGGTTCCACAGCCTGGGATGCTGCCCCTCCAGAGGAGAGATGCATCCGATGTCTTTGGCCTCTTAGCAGCCCACAAGGCACAGATCTGGTCGGGGAAGGCCACGTGTGCTTGGGCTGCTGAGAGCGACCGGGAGACAAACAGATCTCCTTTCCTTTCCCATGGGCCACGCTCATGGCTTGTACCTTCGTGTCCAAGAGAAACTATAGAGCAACTCTGCAGCTTCTGTTACTTTACAAAATGTGCTACCTCAAAGTGCTGCCCGTAGAAACCATTCTGCCTGGAAGTGCTCACCAGAGGGCACGCGTCTTAGTCGAAGCTTGGTGAGGTTTTTGGGGTGTGGGAATTTTTGTTTTTGTTTTTTTGTACAGTAATAAATGAGATCTTACCTATTAAATATAATATTGGATCACAGTTCCTAAAGGTGATTAAAGTGGTGTGTTTTATGACTTAAATATCGTTGGTGTGTGTTTTTTAGAGTTTGATTCTTTAAAGATCTGGGAAGGATATATAAGTTCCAAGGCACTCACTTTTTCTGATTTATCCACTAAATAATCAGGGCCTAAGTTAACAAAAATATGTGTGCATGTGTTTTACATATGTGCGAAAATGTAAATTCCTCTTTTTCTGTTACATTTTATATTCTAGGTTCCAGCTGTAAAGGTTATTGATAGGAATAATAATCACCAAGTCAATTTTGTGAAGCTAAGCTCTAGAAATTTGGAAATATGTTCTTCAGTGCATCAGTTCTCAACCTTGGCTGGACACTGGAATAACTTGGGAGCTTTAAAAAATACAGAAGTCCCTTCCCTCACCCTCTCAGATCTGCATGCACTTGGTGTGGGGTGCAGTCTAGGAATTGAGATTTTGTTGCAAGCTCCATGGTTGATTCTCTTCCACAGCCAGCTGCGTGTTTAATATTTTTGTGATTAACATTTTTTGTCCATCTTTTCATTTTAGATTCCTGTATCACGGAACTTCCAATGCTAAACAAAGTATTTCACTACTATATTTTTTTCCCACTTTGTGACTTCTGTTTGTTTTTGTTATTTATTTTAAAGAGGAAAGAAACAAAAACAAGCGCTGGGGAGATAGCTTGGTGTTCTAAGTGCCTGCCTGGCAAGCGCAAGGACCCAGGTTTGATCCCTGGTACCACATGCCTTCCCAGCCTGGAACCTTGGGTACGTTGTGCCGGCCTAGAAACCAGGTGTGGTTTTGGGGGAGGCAGAGACAGGAGGACCACTACAAGTCCGAGCTGCGTAGCAAGACCCTGTACCACATGAATCAGTGAGTGAAGGATCTGAATTTTTAAAAAAAAAAA